AAAATCAAAAGTTTCGAGGAGTATTTGCATAATTTATTTCCTTAAATGCTAAATTTTGACAAATATTTGCATAAATTACTTCATTAAATGCTAAATTTTGACAAATATTTGCATAAATTATTTCATTAAACACAAAACTATTGCAATGATATGATCTGATAATTGATGTATATATGTAAACATATTGTCACTGATAAATTTGTTGATTGCATGAAAAATTGGAAGCTTTATGAGTGTTAATAATAATGATTTATTGATTATTTCAAAGCTTTCAAGATTTTTGTAAATAAAAACAAATTTTTTCGCTGTAATAAATTTGTATACCTTTTTTTTTTATCTTAAATATCGACATTCATAATTATTTCGAAAGTTCTAAGAAAGATTTCAAAAAATATTAGTTTACTAAAAGTGTTTAAAAAGTTATTTTACCAATTAATCAATTAGAACTTAGTTTGCAAACATTTCCATTTAATATTATTCCATCGATTTGTTAAGAGTTTGTTTTGTTTCAATAGGTTTTTTTTCTTTTTTGTGTCGCATATTTTTGATAATTAAGCTTTTAATTATGTCAATCAGTTTTAGTTTATCTTCCCCTGATAAATTTACTTAAGATATTCAACATTTCGTTCTGATAAACAACATTACTACCATTTACTGATAGCATACAATATTATATTATTATCATTATCACAATTATCTTATTTATGTTAAATCAGTGTTTACACTTTTCCATATTCGTTGATTTTTTTTTTAAATTCTTGAAATTTCATTCATAATTTATCAAATACATAATTATTTTGATCATATTTTTAGACAGGACGAATGAGAAATGACAAAAAGGATAAAGTGGAATAGTTTTTGAAATTGAACTTGTCATCGGTAATTTAAAATGAAACGAAATAGTTTGTGGTATCTATTATTGGGAATTTTCAAACGAAACGAAATAATTCCCTAGATTGAATCTATCACTGTTAAATTTAAAACGGTGTAATTCCCAAAATTAAACCTATTGTCAGCAAATTTAAAATTAAACGAAGCAATATTCGAAATTGAATCTATCATTGGTGATTTCAAATCAAACAAAGCAATATTCAAAATTGAATCTATCATTGGTAAATTAAAATTAAACAAAACAATGCTCGAAATTAAACCGATCGTAATTGAACCTTGAAATTGCATCCTAAAATTGAACCTTGAACCTATCAATGGTAATTTCAAAATAAAACGAAATAATTCCCAAAATTAAATCTACCACTGTTAATTTAAAATAAAAAAAAGCAAGCAATAATTGCAAAACATTTTCTACTCAATGATAACAATAATTAATTATCTTTAAAATTAATTAAATAAAGTTGAAATCATTTCAACAAAAGATTCTTTCGTTATCATAAAATTTAACTTATATATATATATGTATGAATGAAAGGTATAACATTTGAAGAAAATGTTAATGGGTTCATTTACTCTTTTAAGAGGTAATAAATTTCAGTAAAATTATCATAAATTCAAAAAAAAAATGGGTCCCATAAAAGCAAATTAATCGTTTCGTTTTCTTTTTTATCTTTCCTTCCCATTTGGGTTTTTTTTTTTCTCCCCCGTTCTCCCGCGTTTTCCTTAAATATATTCGTTTTCCTCGTCTTTTCCAAACCAATAAATCACAAATTATATCCAATTTTTCTTTTTTTTTTTTGGTAATAGTAAAATAGAACGAATAATTTTCACAAAAAGGAATAATTTCATGCGACAACTTAAAATGGCATTTTTTCTTTTATTCTTTTTTTTTATTTTTATTTCTTTTTAAATCTATAAAACTATCATTTCTCTCTTTCTGTCTCTGTCTCTGTTTCTGTCCCTCTCTCTCTTTCTCTCATCCTTTGGCAGAAAAAGAAAAGAAAAAAAGAAAAAGAAAAGTGGGAAATGTTTTAACTATCAATAAAAGATAGAATTTTGATGAATAAAAATTAAAATTCTTTTCAAAAGAAAAAAAACACAATGAATTGAATTAACAATTTAATTTATTTTTTTTTCCAATCCTATGAATTTTTTTTCTTTTTTGGAATAAAAATCTTTTTAATTTAAAAGTTTTTCTTGTTTGATTTTAATCATCTTTGCCTTTTTTTTTAACAGATGAGAAAAATTTTGCTTTTTTTTAATTTTCGGAAAATTTTTCGAACGAAAAACTCATTATATATTAATGTGTCATACTGTAATTGCGGTAATTTAAACCAATTATAACTGCAGAAATTAATGTAGCACGCTAAGTTAAACTATTTCCAATTCAAAACTTTTTTCCCCCTTTTCTCCCTCTCTCTCTCCCTCCCTTTCTCTCTCTCTCTTTCTTCCGCTTTTCTTTCTCCGTTTTTTATTTTTTTCCTTGAAATAAATTAAAAAATTTGCGCATCAAATTACGAAAATGGAATAGTTTGAATAAAACGAATAAAATTTTAATGATGGATCTAATTTTTAACTAATTAACTCTCCAGAGAGCACTAATAATTTTATTAGCGATGAAAATTTTAATGATTATTGGCGCTAATAACATATCAGCAATGTATCACATTTGCTAATCGTTTTGTTACAGGTAAAAATCTTGATGATCATGGGCGCTAATGACATATTGATGATATGTTATGCTTGCTGTACAGGTAAAAATCTTGATGATTATGGGCGCTAATGACATATTGATGATATGTTATGCTTGCTGTACAGGTAAAAT